AAAATCAAATTCAAAAAACAGATTAGATAATTGAACTATTCTATTCAACTCATTTGTGCTCTTAAATGTCAAAATCATTATCATTTATCTTACGCTTGTACTGTTCATATATCTTTGAGTGCAATCCCTAAACCAAAATATGTAGATTATACAGATGTACCAATGCTTTAGAAAAAAAAATACAACTTCATCTCAAATAAAGTTTTTGAATATCTTTGCGAGTCATTTCTTGTTTATCTTTTTTGCAACATAAATCACATCAAAGTATAGGAATGTCAAAGATGGGCATATAATAGCTATGATGTTTTTATCTTTTGAAAATAAATGTTATGAATAATCTTGATGAATAAAAAAAATAATATTAAACTTATAAAATACTTTTGTACAAAATTGGGAAAAAATGAGAGATACATTTTTTACAGCCTGTAGTTATGGGACATATGGAGAAAATTGTATAAAGAATTGTAGTGGAAACTGTGCAAAGCAGGAGTATTGCAACAAAGAAAGTGGGGATTGCTATGACGGGTGCGCACCGGGTTATAGAGGCTCTAAATGTGATAAAGGTAATAAACACATTATTTCCTGCAAGTGTTGCTTGATATCTTTTACATTACCCAGGTGAATATTTTCTTCGATTACGGGGGCATATAGTTTTTGCCCGGTTCGCCCGTCTGTCTGTCGGTCTGTTTGTTTGTTCTCAAAAAACTTGGACATAACTTTTGATTGGTTGGAGCTATGGCTTTTATATTTCACAAGATTATTCCGTGTGACAAGCTTAAGACACAAAACTATGTATTATTACATGTATACGTAGTGTACAAAATATTTCCTGGGAATATCATTTGAGGAAATTTTCCAATCTTCATCGTAATTTATATCAAAGCGAAGCGATTAAATTTCCATCCAAAGCTTGACGCATTTTGAGAACATTCTCTTCTTATGAATTTTCACAAAATATTTAGAGTTAATCCCTATTTATTGCTTGCGTCAACCTGTTATATACAAACATATAAATTCTACCTCCAACCACGGTCCTGTAAATGGGAGCAGTTCAAAGTAAAATTTTTGCAATATCTTGTTGAATATTCTTTACTTCAGTCCAAAGAAATTAAAGAAAGTAACGTTTGTATATTGAAAAAAATTACACCCCCGTGAATTAAAACTACAGTCGAAACACGTAAATTTTACCATAACGTTCTAATATTTTACATCTTATTTGAAATAGGACGCAAACTTTAAGACACTATCCCTATCATGGCAGCTCAAATGTGCAGTGACTTGACGCCATATGCCATTATGACGTCATATCTTGAAAGTTCTGAGAAGTGCATAGAATGTAGTGTAATATATTACATGAAAGCTTTACCTACCCTCGTAATGGTTAGAAAAAGTACAGTAGAATTAAATGGGGGTAATTCTTCGGAAAAAAAATATTTAAATAAGATTATTTGATAAAAAAGATACTAGGTGAAGATGAGGTGGGAATTGTTGCAGTTAATAAGATTTAAGTAGAGTATGATGAATATTATAATCTGATTTGATACATGCTAAGAATTTATGAAATAGCTCATTATTACCTGCTCTTAAATCTTGAGCTTGAATACTGTTCGTTATCTCCATATATTTCTCCTTAGAAAGGTTGGTTTACCACTTGCAGAATTAAATCCAAGTTCCTCGAAAATATAATCAAAATAATGAGTATTACAAACAAAATGTTCGCTGTCCAATCATTGACTTGGAGTACCCAATTCAAAGAATAAAATATATGGAGATAACGAACAGTATTCAAGCTCAAAAGTTCATTAAACAATACAAAATAGGAGCAGAGCAAACTCGGACCTCCAAACATCAGAGGTGGGATTAGGTGCCATGGAGGTGTGAGCATCCCCTGCCGACCGGTCACACCCGCCGCGTGCTCCTTGTCATGATCGGGAAATAACGGAAAAATCCGTCGACAATTCAGTGTGTAAATAATGGCCTAACAATTAGTATGAAAAACGTCAGTCAGCATTTGACTCAATGATAAATTGTATTTGCTGACAAGGTCATTGTATCGACAATAGAACTTACGAAATGATAACTTTAAACGAGACAGCTGATATTCTTGTTTCATCAACTTGTTTGTCAATAATTTACCTCGTTTTAGAAATTGTACATACGTAGTGCATGCTCTTGCGTATCGAATCAACTGAGAGATATATACCCCGTATGCAGGTGATAAAGGTATATTGCTGCATAAGTAAGGGAAGTTGACGATTGAAAAGTTAAAGTCATCACGTTTATTATAAAGCTTGGTTGTTAGATTACCATCAACGACTTTTTCAAGTAAAATATCCAAATATGAAACAGATGTGTCAGACTCTGTGGTATTTTTTATCTCAAGCTCCCCAGGATATATCGTATCGACATAAGAATGGAGATAGCCATTGTTTATTGACAATACGTCGTCGATATATCTAAATGTCGAGTTGAAGGCCACAGCAAGTGTTTTCTTCTTTTCACGTACAAGATTTTTGACAAATTCTGCTTCATATGAATACAAAAAAAAGGTCTGCTAATAACGGGGCGCAATTGGTACCCATGGGAATTCCAATAGATTGTTGGAAGACCTGGTCTCCAAAAACCACATAGATATTGTCAATCAGAAACTCAAGCATCTTTTTGATGTCAACTTCAGAATACTTGTGTGTACAATCAGAATGTTTTTTAACAAAATAATTTTGCAAATAACCAATGACAAGGTAAGTATATTTACGAGTTCCATTTTTATTGAAAAAGCAGCTGTCAATGATATCAAAAAGCCTGGACTTTAATTTATCGTGGGGAATGGTTGTGTATAAAGTTGAAAAGTCGTAAGTTTTTAAGCTGTTGATTATGGTAAAATCTTGTGATTTCAAATTTTCCAAAAGTTCCTTGGAATTTTTAAGTATCCACATCTGATTTACACCACTTCTCAAATATATTATTGCACAGTACTCTTGAAGTTTCTCCTTCACTACTGTTAATATCTTAGTGAGGAGTAAAGAAAGAGGCTTGGTTGAACATTTACTGGAACCCGCTATGTATCTTTGTTTGTAAGTTTCGGAATCCAATATAATTATGGTAATTCAGATTCATTTTGGTTGTTTGGAATATTAAAAGTTTTCAAAACTGACATATGATTTTGAAGAATTTCTTCCTTAGAAAGGGAACTATGAGCATAAGTTGGATTACCACTTGCAGAATTAAATCCAAGTTCCTCTAAAATACATTTAATATAATGAGCCTTAAAAACAAAGACAATCTTGTTACCTGCTTTGTCAGCAGGGACCAGTACGTACTTATCATGTAATCTATTTAATTCTTTTTTCACTTCTGGGTTATTGAATACAGAAGGATAGATGGTTTTCATATTGTCCCTAAAACTTTTAATGCGTGACTTTAACATAAATCTGATACATTTAATCCATTCTGACAAACTGTCAAGGTCTTCTATTTTATGTCTGGCCCATCGCCTGGCGTAGTCCTCTACAGAATCCATAATATTTATGAAATTCCGACGCCAGTTGAAGGATCGGGGTTCCCTAAATTTAGGACCTTTTAAAATAAGTGATCTAAGGTCCTCATTATTAACTATATTTACGTCACCAGTAATAACATATCCAGCAGGACTATAGTTATAGGGCGAAGAAGAACATGAACACGATGGAGGATTATGTTTCAGAATCTAACTCAATTTCGTTGTAGACAAATACCATGG